TAAATATTGAGCCTGGTTTTAAGGTTTCTACATAAATATGGATTGGAAACACTGCAGGTCAAATACCTGAATACATGGGAAATAAATGTCTTGGGGGGGGTACTTTTAGCATAGCAAGTCCAGGGGATTTGAATGAATTCTAGAAATATCTGTCTTGAGGCAATGGTTTGGGTAAGATGCCTTGTAGGGTCCCTTCTATTTAGATGAAATAGGCTCAAACTTGGAGGGGATTGGGGGACACACTAGAACATTTCACTTTTTATTCAAGAACTCCATGCTACTGATAATCTCGGTGCTTGTCTCTTTGTAGGTGCTCAATACATACAAATTTCTTTTAGAAAGCTTAAAAATATTTTTGATCCAATATTATTTATAAATTTTGATAAATTTATTTTGATCCAATATTATTTATAAATCCTTGAGTCTGTTCACATTGTTTGATTGAGAGGCTTATAAATATTTATCAGCACATCAGAACGCAAGACTTCAGGGAGTTTGGACATTAAGTTATCTATCACTCTTAAAGGAAGTTAGTACTTTTCTTCTTATTTTTTTACATGTGAACTGCAGAAGTTAAAAACACACAAAAAAGAGATGACACGTTCCAGTCATTTTAAAAGGTCACCTTTTTCTACAGGATTTACTTCACAGATGGTTTACAAAGACCTGAGGTTTTAAGGTGAAAAAGGCAGACCCTCAGAGACCACTGTCCCATTTAATGTCATTTCATGGACAAGGCAAAACTGAGTCACAATTTAGGAGGCCAAACGGACTCAACTCTCATTATGACCAAGCCTGGATTTACTAATTTCCACTGCACTTTTGTTGCAAAATGCTTCAAGAGTTAAGAATGCTTTCATAGCTGGCAAGGACAGCTATACAACTCAGACCTCAGCCACTCTTCTCTCAAATGCCCACAATGTTGGGTTAGGGACGCGTTCATGACAAGTTATTCTGAGAGCTGACAGGTAAGAAAGTAAATTGAAAAACATAACTAAAACCCTGTCTCTGGTTCTCACCTTGGCCACAAGCAGAAATTACATTTTTATCACATCTACAGTAAGAACCTATTGATAGTTAAAGCACCTAGTATGTACGTACACTAAAGAACATGAGTACTTTCCCCGGATTCCTCAACTAGAAACTCATCTAGCAACAGGTTTCCTGAAGAAGACAGCTGCCAGCTGGGAAAATACTGTCCATTCAGTGGAGAACCCAGGTGCAAGGCCTAGAGGAGCCTGAAGAGACTGCAGCTGGTAAAAACTACACCAATCACATGGGTCAGAAGGGTCTAAATCAAGTGGCTTCTCTATGACCCTTATAAGTCAAGATCCAAACATAAAGGTTTGGAGCCAAGGGACAAATTACTAGAAAAGTTCAGTTTTAAGACACAAGGAAGGTCACCTTCAAACTAAAATTAGGTTGTCCTCATCCTATTAAATCCTAGGAAAATTACTCCACCAATAGAATGAGAATTTATTATGCTCTGTGTTCCCATCACTTTAATAACTTTCTGAGTGCACTGACAAATCTAATTTAGAAAAGATAAATTTGGACTCCAGCTAATAAAATTAAGAAAAATATTGTTCCTAATGGTCAGATTTCTTAAATCACCACTTACTCAGGTAAGTCACTGATGTGATGAACATGGGGAGACATGGGTGCTTTCTTTGGAGGAAAGCGTTTGCTAGATTCTGTGCTATTTTCTGCCTGGCATATTCACACAGCCCATGTAGCATCCTCATTAATTGGGACAAGTGTTTGTGGAATTTTTGTTCTGTGCCTAGGAGTTGTTGTGTGTCACATAAAACTTTGGATTGGAGCACACACCTGTACAGTTCTCCAGACAGGCACCCTGGGGTGGCTGTTCCACATGGGACAGGACTGCAGTAAAATGGGGAGCCCCGATGGGTGCAGAGCCGGCCCCCTCAACGTTCCTGTTCAGCTGAGGCACAGCATGGGAGTGGGGAGGCCAGCTTCAACAGTTTTTCATACTTTCTGATATAGCAGAACCAGAAAGTATTCTCTAAAAGGTTTTTTCTACCACCAAAGGAAGACAAAGCCCTGGGAAAAATGGTCAAGATTCATTTAAAAATCTCCCCAAATGCTACCTTTATATATTTATCATAATTCCTATTAATTCATAATTCTTGTTCTTGCTGGCCCACGTAGCTTAAGAAGTTCCTTGCAAGTAAAATAATGACCCTTGAAAACACAGCCAAAGGATGTGTGACCCTATTAACAAGTGCTCAATAAACAGATGAGTGGTCTTGTGCACAGGTGAGGATGAATTTAATCTCTAGCGGACCTATCAACAGAAGCCTTACTTTCTCTGTGCTCTCTATACCACAACTGATTTCCCAAAGGACAATCATGTTTTGTTTTCTATCATCAAACTACTGAGTCTTACAAGTACTTCAAAGTCTAGTCCAAATGTCATCTTCATTAAGAAACCTCTCCTGACCTTTGTGCTCAATGTTTTCGGCCCCCTCCAAACTCCTGAACACTTTTCTCCTGTGACACTAATGTTCTGTGATTATTTATGAGTTACTAATTTGATTTTCTAAGCAGGATTTTTTTTTTCACTTCTTTTCTTTTTACTGAGAAAAAATGTATTTACCTAGACACATTCAGACTGTCAGCAAAATTGCTGCAACTTTTCTTTTGCAATTTGGAGAACAATTATTTAATATAAGCTGCATTAGAAACTACTGAAGATGAGCAAGCTACCCTTCTATAACTCTGTGCTATGAAGCATCAAGAACCTGCTTAAATTTCCATGACAATTTACAACCACAACACTGTGCCAGGCAAAGCTAGTGGCTATTAAAAGTACCACGAGGACAGGACTATGTAAAGATATATTCAGTAGTGTGTTAACTACACAAAATGTACCATTTAAAAACAAATTTTGGCTGGTTGTGGTGGCACATGCCTGAAATCTCGGCACTCAGGAGGCTGAGGCAGGAGGATCACTGTGAGTTCCAGGCCAGCCTGGAACACAATGAGTTTAAGGCCCCCCTGAACTACACAGTGAGACCTTCCCTCTAAAAAAACAAACAAAACTCCCAAAACAAAACAAAAAATGAAAAAAAACAAAAAACTCCTCACATTGTTTTGGATTAGATCAAGAATGATCACCAAAACGTTCATGGGCTCAGAAGTAGGGCTTCTGGAAAGCAAATGGATCAGCAGGAGCTAAGGCTGATTGGTGCTGGGAGGTCTGGCTAGGGGCAGGTGCCTGAGGTCTGACTTGGGCGGAGTTAGCTCTTTGTCTCTCTGCTCCCTGGCCCTCATGGTGTAAGGAACCATCCTCCATTGCAGGCCCATCTACCATGCTGCTCCTGCCTGAGAACTAGCTACCCACGTAAGGTCTGAGACTTTGGACACTGGGAGCCAAAGTAAGACTCTCCTCCTTTAAGCTGTGGGTGCTGGGCTTGTGTCTCAGGAATGAGAAAAGTGCTAAAGATAGCCATACCTGATATTTCAGTTTTTCCTTCAAAGAAGTGAGTTGTACTGGGGGTTAAATACTTTACAGGCAAGGAAAAAACTGAAATAAACTTGTCATCCTCCTCCTCCTCTTTCCTGTACCACCTCTCTTTCTTTCTTGTCTGTCTTCTTCTCACTTTTTAAATCCTGGAACTTCTTTTTTTGTTTCCTCTTTAGGACAACAGGTCTTCAGGCCTCTTTCATGCCAGGCCTTGTCTGTGCCACATCTTCAGTTCCTCCTTTCTCTTGTTTTGTTTTGGGAGTTTTGTTTGTTTTTTTAGAGGGAAGGTCTCACTGCTCACTCACCCCGTGAGCACATCTTAGAAAGTCCTGGGAAACTCAAGGGAGCATCTGGGTGCTGCTTCCTACCACCCAGCAAGTCTGCACAAAGAAGGCATCTGAGCACATTTTGCCTGTTGCTTCTCAGTTTCTCCACTCTTTCCCCAGTGAGCCACAGAGTTTCTCAGGCCAGTCCAGCTCTCTGCACTGTCATTACAGCGTTCTCTCTAGGGAGCTCGATGCTCCATACTGGCTACACAAGTGGGGGCCAGACTCAGCCTCTCTGGGGAGTTCTGGACCTTGGTCTCTTTGGAAAGCTCACAGGACCCTACTGCAAAGAGTTACTCAAAGCTTCTGACTACAGAGAAGGGGTCAAGATTGGAAGGGGGTTTCTGTGGGAACTAGAACCCCATGTCAAGGAAGAGAGTATTACGCAGCATGGGGGAAATGGCGGAGATACTCCCACACTGCACTGGTTTGTGCTGCCTTGGTTTCATTTCAACTCTCCCATTCTCTCCGCCAGATTCTCTGATTAGGACCTTTGGTAAGAGAACATTCTGTTATTATTAACTTTTCCTCAGCATCTGATTATTCTTAAGTAGTTTGGTTGCCTATCTTCTGATCAGTCATTTTCAGAGGAAATGCAGTTAGGTCAAACAAATACAATGTAAAAGGCTGGCTTTGATTTCTATAGCCACAAGTGTTTTCTGGGCATGGAGTTAAAAAAAAAACTCTCCTATTTGTTTTGTTTAATTTGATACTGCATTGCCCCTAGTTACAGAGTGCAATCTCATCTGTACATCACCCACAGCTACTGTAGGTTGGTAAACATGTTTGTCCTGATGATTACTGAATATTTAAAGAAGTAACACCTCCTCCTGAGTCATTTCTCTCTGCACTCGTGACTGATACAATGCTATCACAAAGTGTAAACTTGAATTTGGCTATTTTCTTTTTAGATATTTTCTCTCCAATATTTGGCTTTATGAAGGCAAAAATGCATGTAGTATCCCACTAGAGAAATCAGGATTTTTTTAATGTTTAGGAATTCTAAATGGAGAATGGAAGGTACAACTTTGGGTATAAAATGCAAGAGTCAAATACATAATTTCCTCCTTTGAACAAAGAGAAAGAATGCCTTGGGGTAAGAAGGAGTAAATAAGGATGAACCAGTTGAGATTTTGCCCCATAAGAGAGCAGCAGAAGCTGTAAGCACTCTTGCCCCAGCGTACCTCTTGTTTCGGTCTTCCAGCTGTAGTGTATATACCATGTCATCAGCAGCATGTGTCTTAGAGTTACTGTCACCCCATTTTAGCTTCAGGCTCTGTGGCCCAGCTGCAGCACATTCTAGCCTAGGAGGCAGGGGTGGTAAAGGCCGAGTTTTTGCTTTAATGAACTGACTAAATGGTCCAGCTCCAATTTCATTTACAGCCTGAATCCTGATCCTGGAAAAAGAAAAACACAAACAATGCATGTTTAAGAAGTACCACTTCTTCATTTGAAATAAACACTAAATGGGACTACTTATTACTTGCCCCTAAAGCAATACTACATAAAAACGAAAAACAAGCAGAATTACTTAAGACAACGAAGTTGATAGTTCAGAGGACTGAGTATATAGTACTCTCTATTTTTAAAAAATCTGACTAATAAAATAATCTTTAGCGCTTTAAGTGGAACAACAATAAGATACGCACTAAGGGAAGACACCCTAACTACATGCTTTTATATTTTGCTTTAGGCCCCCTTTAGCTGTCTCAAAGTTAATTTTTGAAGCAGGTGAGTTATAGAGTAAACTTAATAGGAGGACAAATAAGTCTCCTTTAGAGTCAAATATAAAGGACAACAAGCCTTCAACAGGACATTTTAGCTTCTCCCACTGGCCAGCATTACCCAACAACTTGGTAAGTCCATGACAAGGGCCAAGTGAGCAGATACTGCCAGTAGCAGAGTACAAAAATCAGCTGTGCAGAAGTCTTAAGTGGTGTTTACTATGTGCAGTGTTATGAGTAGAAAAGACATATGAACACCACTTTTATGGTCTAGGAACTTAACATCTGATAAGAGGTACAGTGTATGTATAAAATACTATTTTATATATGCAATGGGCATATTGTTTCTATTTTTCTTGTTCCCCTACTTCCCAACCAGTTGACTGAAACAGCTCTCCATGATCACTGAACAAAACGTTGATGGATGGCACTGCTCCATCCTCCTCTAGGATTCTCATCTCTGCAGCCACTGCATGTCCTTGAAGCCTGCATACGGTGGCCTGCACAGCTTCATATGGCACTTCTCCTCTCCTTCTCTGACCAAAGGACTTCCTTAGTCCTCTTTCTTTTCTTCTATACAATATGAGCATTCCCTAAACTGCTGTTTTCTCAAATAACCTCACACATATTTCCACAGCTTTACCCACGTTAAGACTACTCACAGGTCTACATCTCCTAATTTCCTTGTGACTTGTTATCAGCCCATCTGTGGAAACCTCCCCCTGGACCCCTTGCTAGAGACACAGACATCTCACTGAGTTGACTGAGTGGTGTGGTATCAATAGTTTTGAAAGTGTCAATAGTTAAAATTGATTTAGATTAAAAATACGGTGTTTCAAAACATGCTATCATGACATATAGCTAGAGAGAAATTCTTTGGGAATAGTTTAGCTTCAAATATCCTCCCAATTTATTTTTCTACATTTCTCACTTATACCCTTCACTGTTGATACCTACATAAAAAAATCACTTAATTATTATAATACTGAAAGACATTATACAGCCTCCAATTGGCCTGAATTCTTTAAAAAGATTCTGTAAGTTACCAGGTCAACCTAATATGCCTTATATTGTTAGGGGAGGGAAAAGGGTTAATTTTACATTAGACGGAATGCATACATTCCACCCCACTTTCCCCAAAGAATACAACCATTGAATCTGGACAAAAGGATGCAGCTATTTAAGAATGCTAAAAAGTAAATAGGAGCTGGCAGGCAGAATTTGAATTTTCACCAAACCAGCAATGAATTTACCATTTTTCCCTCCATTACCCCTTAGCCTGGATTCATGAAGCCTCAATTCAGGAGCGGATGTGCAGGCACAGAGCTCCGGGAAAGCCCTGGTTGGGGCAGGGGAGGGTGTGGAGTTAGGGAGAGACAAAGGAGAGCTAAAGAGAGAGATCTGCAAATGTTCAGAGGTGGGAGAGAGCCCCTCTTTGGCTTTTCTTCCCCTTCCCTCTCTTCTCTCATTCTTCAGGCTTTCGGCAATCCCAGTCTAAAGAAGGAAAACCAGATGTTCAAATCAGTTGATAAAGAAAAAGCATTTGATAAAACCTAAAATCTATTTATGATAAAAATTCTCAGGAAACTAGAAGAGAGCTTCTTTGACCTGAAAAAGAGTACCTACAAAAATACAATTAACATCATGTTTATGGTGAAAGCGTAAATGCTTTCCCTGTAACACAGGGAACAAGAAGCATAATGTCTACTTTCACCACTCCAACATCATTTACTGGGAAAGCTAGCCAGTGCAAAAGTAAAGGAGAAGAAAAGGAAGGACAAAAACAGGAAAGAGACTTGTACCAATAGAGAGCTACAGTGTTCATCAATGGAAAACTCCTCACAGTAAAAAAGCCAGCTCTCTCCATATTGATTTGTAGAGATATTGCAATTCAGGAAAGAAAACAAAATCTTGGGAGATAGAACAAGTTGATTCTAAATGTTATTTTATTTTCTTTTATAAGAGATACATGACAGGAAAGAGAGACAGAGACACTGACTTCGTTGGGGCGGGGGAAGGGGAAGAAGATGGAAGTCAAGGATCAAGATGCAATATGTATTGTACCAATTCTCCACGAGGAATTATTTATTATGTAGTACAAATATACACCAACAAGAAAAGAAAAAAGTTACACAAAAAGGCAAGAGAGTTAAAGCAGCTAGTACGTATTTGCAAAATAAGTATAAAGTTAGAAGAATTATACTACTTGATTTTAGGGCTTACTATAGAGCTACAGTAATCAAGACAGTGTGGTGGTAGTAAAGAGACAGACACACAGACCAATGCAACAGAACAGAATCTCCAGAAACAGACCTACACAAATGTGGCCAACTGATTTTCAACAAAGGTGCGAAACCACTCACTGGAAAAATGATAGTCTTTTCAAATAACAGTGTTAGAGCAATTGGATAGCAACAGGAAAAAATAATAAACCTCAACTTAAATTTCACACCTGATATAAAATGTAGTTCAAAGTGGATCACAGAGATAATTATAGAATACAAAACTTTTAAGAGCAAAACAGGAGATAATTTTTACTACCTAGTGTTGAATAAATTTTTTTTTTGTTTTGTTTTTGTTTTTTTTTCTGGTACAGGGACTCAAACTCATGACCTTGCACTTGCCAGGCAGGTGCTGTGCCGCTGAGCTAAATCCCCAGCCCTGAATTAATGGTTTTTATATATGACATGAAAAGCATGGATCTTACATAAAAGGAAAAAAATGAAAAATTGGATCTTATTAAAATTAAAAATTTGGGCCAGGGATATAGCTCAGTGGCATAAGTGCCTGCCTGGCAAGTACAAGGTCCTAAGTTCAATTCCCAGTACCAATAAAATTAAATTAAAAACTTAGCACTGTTAAAAGAATGAAGGGTAAGGTATAGACTGGGAAAATTACTGTAAATTAAACCCCTGCCAAAGGATTTGTATTCAGAACTATAAAGACCTCTCAAAATTCAACAGGAAGAAATCATCATGATTAAAAAATGGCCAGAAGGCTGGAAAAGACAACAAAGAGGATAGATAGATGATAAATACAGCTATATACTGTACAGCTATGAAAATCCAAGTTAAACCACAATAAGATACATATGTAATTCTCTTCCCCCCCCCCCCCGTCCTCTCTCTCTCTGTATATATCTACAGAGGATGAGGAGCAATAAGAACTCTCACATTTTGTGAAGAATGAAAGGTGGCATAACTATACTGGAAAATAGTTCTCATAAAGTTAAACATATACAACCCAGCAACTCCATTCTTAGGTTATTTACTCTAGAGAAATTAATATTGTGTTCACAGGAAAGCCCTCACACAAATGTGTGTACTATCTTTATCCATAATACACAAAATTAGACAAGTAATATGCCTCATAGTTTGGAATATGGCAAATACTTATTATCTCTGCTGTAGTAGAGAAAAACATCATTATAAGGGCTTCACTTTTTGGAGGTTCTGTTATACTGGAAGCTGGGTCAGGTCCTTTGTAGATAAGCAATTAAGTCTCTCGGTATCACACTGGAAAGCTAAAACAAACTCATTCCTGCTGAACAATAAAGGTTCCACTCATTAAATCTATCTCAAATCCAAACTTGACAAGTCTTCTTTTTACCTTAGGTAATATTTAAATCTCCACATTTAGATAGAACCCACAGATTTTTTTTGAAACTTTCATTGTATCAGTTTTTGAAATCTTAAATGCTGCAAATTAAATAGAAAGGAACAGAACTTTGCTTTCCAATTTTGGAAGTAACCCTGAGTAAATGGTATCTTAGCCAGGTTACTGTGAAAAAGCTCTCCATATTTCCAGGAGTCTGAACTATCCATCAATATAAATACTACTGATTAAGTAAATCAAATTAAGAGGCATATCTTTATAAGTTTTGTGAAAATCCATCATTAAGCTATTTGGCTAATATAAATGCCGCGGGGCTGGGGATTTAGCTCAGCAGCAAAGCGCCTGCCTGGCAAGCGCAAGGTCGTGAGTTCGGTTCCCGGTACAGGAGAAAAACAAAAAACAAAAAACAAACAAAAAAAAACCTTAATATAAATGCTGATTACATTCCTGCTTCAGAAGATCATAGCCTTCTACTATGCACTTTGTATACAAACACACTCAAATTTCCAACCTTAAATATATTAAAAGGAGAATGACTTTTAAAACAAATTGTCCTTAACTGGGAAAGATGACTTTCCTCATAATGATGAGTCACCCCAGCACTCATGGTACCATGAACACACAGTGGGGAAACTGAGGCAAAGGGTCCCAGGCAGAAGGCTAGAGGAGGCCTAAGAAGCAAAGGTGGACTTTTCCAGTACCATACTCCAGCCTACCTTCCCATCATCTAACTAAGAACAGAAGAATTAAGAGAGTCATCGTCAGACACCTTCTGAGGAAGAAGCCTTAATACAGCAAACTATGCTGGGAAGGATGTGCTAAGAGAAGGTTTTGGGGGAGCGGGAGTACGGTGAGCCAGTCTTGGGCTCACTGATGCCACCTGCCCCTCTCTAACACTTGGTTTACTTCCTCAGGGGCAAACCTTCTATGTCTTCCACTGCTTAAGGGATTACGCCAGATTTCCATAAGCAAGCACACCTGCTCCCCAGCTCATTTGTTCTCCAAAAACATTAAGGACAGATAATTTATTGAATGCGCATATGTCAGGCCTGAGATGAGGTACCTGAAATCTTTTGAACACCCATCTACATCAACCCTCCCAGGTAGCTAAAACTGGTTTTCCCATTTTACGTTTTAGGGGATTGACACACAGTAGGCTTAAATAATTTGCCAAACGCCACGGAGACAAGAAGTGAGGGATTAGTCATGGCTACCTCTGGCCTGTTAATTTCTGAACTGTTCAGCATGTGTCTCCTAATAAAACCTACCTCATCTTTTTTATGGTGAAATGATTTATGATTCCCTTACCATAGCTTAACATAGTGCATACCAGAGAGTGAGGAATCTAACATTATTTTCATCCTCTTTTTACTTTACAAAAGTGAGCATAACAAACAAATCTAAGTCTTAGTTGTTTGCTTGCTTAATATAAATCGAACATACAATGAAACTGTCCAAAAAAGTAATCTTAGGCAACCTTACTAACTGCACAGGGTAGAGAACAGGGGAGGTGACAGTGCTATTCTTCTCTAACCTGGAGGTCTAAACACAACCCACAGAGAGGTGATCAAGAAGCTGAAACTTATCTGGAGATGGCAGAGGAGCGTGCAGAAAACCCATGCCAGTGAAGTCAGTTTGCATGGTGAGCAGTTATGTAAGACAGCTGATATTATGACACACCCTGCCTTGGTCTCGCCAAACCAGTCTAGAGGAGTGGGGCTCAGACAGCAGTATTTTACAAGGACTTTCCAAGCAACTAATATACAATGACATTTAACAATCACTGCTGTATGGCAGTGTTTTTTATACATTTACACGCACAAAATCCCTCAAATTTCTTTCTTTTTTTTTTTGTCTTTTTGAGATAGGGTCTTGTTATGCAGTTCAGGCTGGCCTTCAGCTCACTTTGTAGCCCAGGGTGGTCTTGAACTCGCAAGGATCCTCCTGCCTCAGCCTCCCAAGTGCTGGGATTATAGGAGTGCACCACCATGCCGGGCTCAAATTTCTGATTAGGTAGTCCTGGGGTGGGCTTGATAATCAACATTTTAATAAGCCTCCGAGCAATGCCAAAGCTGCCCAATCACTGTTCCACAGGAAGTTTCAGGGTCAGCTGAGTTGATTAAGGGGACAGAGAGGATCTGACATAGTATGAAGGAAACATTCTAAAAGCAGTTATTCACAAATATAGTGGGCTGCATGGTGAACAGAAGCTGAAACACTGCTCCTGTTGTGCGATGCTGAGGTCAGGGCCAGGAAGGGTGACAACAGGTGACACCATCCCTTTGTCTGCTCACAAGGTCCATGACTCTACTGGGCTGGAAGCACATAAAGGAAAGCTGTTTCTGTTTTTACATGTTTTTTTTCTCTTCACACCAAAACACAAATTCAACCTTAAATTGAGTTCTTAATTTAAAACTAATGCCTCTGAAAGAACACCATCATTTCAGGCAAGCCAGTGGGGAGTTCTGCAAGCACCAGTGAAGAAACAAGGGATTCACTTATAGTTGGTTCTACAGCAGTGGACTTACTACACAGCGGCACAATCAAGAACTATTTCTTGGTTTCTGGCGAACTAAGAGATATACACTCCATGTGAGAATGATATGTAACTGCTGAAAGTTTAAAAAAAAAAAATCAAAAGGAATAAGTCCTTTCCCTAGAGGTCCATGGCCTGTTAAAATGTTTCATTATACATTTTTATCTAGAACATCACGATCTGTTCACTTGTATTTTCTCCAATTTATGGGACAGAAAAAGGTGAAGTAAAAGTTAATTGGACCAAAATTATACCCTTAGTTCCTTGACATACTCATTCTGAATTTCAGTATAATTATTGCAACTGTGTTTCTGAAACAATATTTCAAGGCTGTGCATTGATCAGAGTTCTACCATACAGTGTCCACTTTGGACTAAATTCCTAAAGCTGTACAAAGGTTGACTTTAAATATTATTTTTAATAAAATATACAACATCCAATTTATAATTAATTGATTAGCCAGCAAAGACTTCGGCAAGTTCGTATTGTTTTGGCCGAGAACAAATGATGTAACTATGCAATCTGTCTAAAAAGGCATATTCCAAGCTGCTCTATAAAGTTAACAGATGATGTCCTCTCTTTTTTTTGTTGTTTTTTTTTTCCTGTACTGGGAACCGAACTCATGACCTCACACTTGCCAGGCAGGCGCTGTGCCACTGAGCTAAATCCCTAGCCCCTATGTCCTCTCAATTTAAACTGTCTTTCTATACTCAACTCATTATACTAGCCTTGGCATATTACTACTGAAATATTTACACTAAACCCATCAAATACTTCATTTGAATTTTTTTAAACTTTAAGCATTCTATAGTTCCTACATTATTAAATAATTTCATCATTGTTTATCTTCTCCAAAATAAATTATCCTGTGAGGTACTTTATAACATTTTAAAATCAACCACTTAACATGGGAGATCTCTTTAATAATTTCAGCAATTTAATAATTTTAGCTCTCTCTTATTAAACAAAGATTCCAAATACCTTTTCTTCATTTGTACTCTTTTTTTTTTTTTTTTTGGTTTTCCTCTGGTACCGGGAACGGAACTCACAGCCTTGCACTTGCCAGGCAGGCGCTTTTGCCACTGAGCTAAATCCCCAGCCCCTCATTTGTACTCTTGAGCCCTGGACTTTTTAGAAGTCATTTGATCATAAACTGACTAATAAACCAAGTCAATGTACCTCCAGAGTCATCTTTTTACATATCTTTAAGTTCCACAATCATTTAAGCCACCTTGAAGGTAGGTACAGTATCAGGATGAAGGAAATTTTTGGGCTAACACCTTACCCAAGAGGCCCTTTATAAATTTCTTTATAAATATTCAGAAGACTGACCTGAGGATCTGAGTTCTCTTTAGGGTAGTAGAGGGTGTGGATCAGAGCAGATACAAAACTTTCCTGTGAAACTGCAGCAGTGTCATCTGGTCTGAGAGATCAAGGTGAGATAATACTCTGGACATCTGGTCTGTCAGAAACAGCTGTGAGATGACATTCCCTTGGTCATTTCCTGTAGGAGGCTGATCTCATGGTCAGGTTTTCTTAACAGTATCCATACTAGGGAAATTCCCTGAAGTCAAGGCCTGGGTCTAGTCATTTCTGGATTTCTTTAGCCTCTGATTACTCTGTACTCTGGATATAACAGGCACTTAGCATTTGGTTAAAGGAGTGAAGAAGGGATTGATTTTTGGGGATTGATAGAAGCTAAAATAGAAACAATGTCCCTATTCTGCCTCTTTATCCATGTAAATACTTGTTTTCTTTCCTTTTGCTGGGGTGAGAGGGGAGATACTAGGGATCACACCCAGGGCTTTGTACATGCTAGGCAAACTCTCTACCCCTGAGTTACATCACTAGCCCTCAAGTCCTATTTCTAACCATTCAGAATCATAGGTCTTCCTATATAATGTTCTTTTCACCCTGTACTATCACAATCACCTGTTAGCTTAGATTATTACTTGAGAGTCACAATTTCTTAAGAGAATGCGTGTATAAGAAAAAAAAAACCAAAAACTCTTATTGTTTAAAAAAGTTAACAAATATATGATTACTAATAAAAAAGAAAGACCTAGTAAGAGAGAAAGACACAGATATATACCAAGATGGAACTGTGGTGTTTACAGTTCATTGGCTGAATCTTCAGCTTCTGGGTATAAGACTGCAGAATTAATAAACACTGCAGGCAAAAGAAAATAAATGAAATGATAAACCCACGTTGGGGCAGCAAGTTGATCTGCCCACCAAGGAAAATCTAGTTGCGTTGGATGAGGATCTTGATGACACTTAAACTTAGAATGCCTGTTGTGCACATGCAATAATGCACTGCTGGTTTCTACTCGTACAACATGTGTGTGAAGGAAGTCATCTTGTTCTCATTTCACACAATAAACGGGGACACAGAGAACTTAAGTAACTTGCCAAAAGACACAGTTATGAACTGAGTCTCCCACATCTCCTTGGGAAATTAGGGAGCATGACCAAGGCAGCTGGTTCCTGCACTTCTAGTGATATGGTTTTGAAAAACGTTTGTTTTGAATGGATTATGGTAACTTGGAGATAAAGCTAAATAATTTGAAATTTTGAAGGCCACAAGAAGAAACAGTTGTCAGAGAATATGGACAACCTCCCAGGTAAGAAACTCTGGGGGAGAGACAGAATAAAGACGTTAACTGAGTTTTGTGGGGTGGTACGTGATGTATCTGCTTTTCTCCTGCCCCTTGTGAAATCCGGAGTCATATCTCTATCATAAATACTTCATAACAATTCATTCGCTTTGGAGAAACCAGCAACTGGATGTACGCTGCTTCAAATGTGGGCAAATCCATGGGTGAGGACAGAGAGTGCCCAGAGAGTGAGATGAGTTGCCAGGAAAATATACAAAGACAAAGAGGTAATCAACAGAATGTGTGTGTGCGCGTGTGCACGCGCAAGCGCGGGGGTGGGGTGGGGTGAATTAAAGTGGGAGGTGAGTTCTTCCTTTGAGGTCAGGAATGGTGTGGATTTGCAACTGACTCATTAAACATAAAACATTGTAAGTTTTTAAGCTCCATTTGCATTTAGCACTCTTAAATACATGAAATAAGAACAGCTAGCATCCGCTGATTTGACCATCTGTATCTGAAGTATTTATAGCTCTGGTGGTGGTATGGGGGCTGTACTCACCGGTATGTGGTTTCTGGAAGGAGATCTTTCACAGCATGAGTGGTGATATTGCCCACAGTAATGCTGCTGTCTCCAAGATCAATGTTGTAAGCGAGGATTTCCGATCCATTATTGCACGGTTCTTCCCAGCTCAGGACAAGGCACACAGAGGGTGAGTCAGGGTAGGCAGTGAGGGGTTCTTCCTCCAGGACACACAGAGTGGAGATGGGGTCAGGGGCAGATGCTGGTGTCTGGCAAAGCACGAGCTCGCTGTATGGTCCTGCTCCTGCTTGATTGAAGGCCTAAAAAGTAAGGAACAGTGAGATGAAGGGTGTATCACACCCTTAGTACATTGTAATGCCTCCATGCGAGCTACTGCTAGATAACCTAAAGTAGTATTTTCAGTGCTAGGCATATAAGTGGAAATACATTCTAGAAAACATTCACTTTCATCTAATTACCACTTCCCAACATGTGCCAATCACGTCCTCTTCTGTTAATAAAGCAAAAGATAATACAGCCATCATCACTTATAAAAAATAATGTTAAAACAACATTCCACTTGTATGGCCCACTTGAGCTTCTGTAACACATCATTTGGTCTTCACAATAATCCCTGAGGGAGATATTAAATGGCAAGCGTTCTTATCTGCCTTTTACAGAGAAGCCAACTTGGATTCAGACTAAATGATTTTAAGTGTCAGATTTGCAAGCAAAGCTGGAGCTGGAAGTTCATATGAGTTTTAAGGCTACTGCTGCCTTAGAACTGCAATAGGAGGTTTAAAAAAGGTATCTGCTCTTTTCCAGGTGAATGATAAACCTATGTCTGAAACAAGTTTTCCCCATCTGATTTCACCACACAGCAACAGCTGAGCACTCCCAGCATCGTCACTTGGTCTCCAGGACCCCGAGCTATTGTTTTTCCTCCTACTTTGTGTGTTGCTGCTTGTCAATTGCCTTTACTGGTTCTGATCACTTACCATAGTCCTGGTGGGTGCCAGAGCTTAGTCTACGGACATTCTTTTTTATACCTCTGCTCAAACTCTTGGGAGATCTTATCTTTGTCTAGTGGGTAAATGGTGTTATGTTACCCCCAAACTTAGATGTGCAGCTGTAGCTCCTACCCTGACTGCCAGGCTGGTCTATCTGAACCTCAGTGCTCACTGAACATCGCCACCTGCACATCAAGTCAGCATCTCAAATTCAAGGGTCCACAGAGGTTCTCATTTCCAGCCTATCCTTCTTCACAAAAATCTCCACGCATCTCCTGTGGTCCTCCTCACCCTCCAGGTGGCTCAAATCATAGCCTTGAGTGGTTGCTGGATGCCTGCATTCCTGTCATATTCACATCCAGGCCATCAGCACATCTGGCACCATGCTAGTCCCACTACACTCTCTAATATCCGGATAATGTGATGACTTCCACACTAGTAGGGGCCTGCTCCACAGTCTATATTCACCACAAGAGCGAGGCTGTTAAAACAAGAGTTTGGATTTTCAGTTCAAATTCCTTCTATAGCCTCCCACCTTAGTAAGAATAAATGCTCAAATCCTTACAAAAGCCTACAAAGACCCAATCTGATCTGCTCAGCACCACCACACTTCAAAAAACCCACCAAAATCTAATTCCACCATTTGCTACTCTTTTTAGTTTTTGTTCCAGCTCTACTGGCTTCCTCGCTGGTCCACAGGGACACCAAGTCTGCTCTCACCTCAGAGCTTTGGAGTGGGTTTTTCCTTATGTCTACAACACGGCTCCCAGATGCCCACACAACTCACTCAATCATCCCTTTTACACTTTTTCTGAATATTTTACATAAACTCACAATCACCTGCTCTCCTCTCCCCAAACCCTGAGATCTTCCTTATTTTCTACTTCCCTTTTCATTTTAATTTTTCATTACAGAACTTATCACCAATATATCACATAGTTTATTTATTTACTTCTATGATGAAAATGCTGTCTGTGTAAATGCAAGGCTGCTGCTATCCTTGACAATTGGAACGAGACTTGATACACAGGATGTACTTCATAAGTGTTATAAAATATATGTATTTTTAAGAAAAAAACCCGATAGCCTTCTTATAGTACCAAATGAACTCTAAAACCCAGCTCTCATCTACTCCACATGAAGGTTTACTGAGACAAACTGAAAAATTAAAGGAAGTTTGAACTCTTGTATCAAAGGTCTGAAACAAAATTTAGAATTCCTTTCTTCATTAATTAAAAGAAAAGCAGGCTAAGGATATTTAGTATATCCTGCTGAAACTCTATAGTAATATTCAAAATAATACCTTGGCTCTCTTTTGGAAGAATTTTAACATCATAAATTATTAAGAGTCTACATTTTCAGATTTTATTTAATAATTTATTTATTTGCAGCATTGGGGATTGAACCCAGGGCTTTGCACATGCTGGATATTTTATTTTCAGATATAAATCTATCACTGGGATAGAAAAATAAGTCATTGTTGAGCTTAATGTTCACATCAACTAAGGTTTCACATCACCACATGACATGGTTTGAGTGCAGATGTGACCCCAAAGCCTCATGTGGTCATGGGGAGCAGGTTTTTTGGAGGCAGCTGAAGTAGAGTTTGTGATTGCTTCATGATCCAATGCTGGGATTATGGGTGTGAGTGCTACACCTGCCCTAAGGTGTGTAGCCTGCATAATAATATAAAGGACAAAAAGAGGCTTATCTCTCAGTGCGCTCTTTCTTGCTTTGATTGTCTTCTGCCCGTTATGATTTGCTCTCCTCTGTAAAGCCAACTTGAAGGCAGTTGATTATGGACTGAAACTTCTAGAAACTGTGAGCTAAATAAACCCTTTCCTCCTCTAACCTTGGGTGTGGGCTATTTTGTCTCAGCAATGAGAAAAGTAAGGCACCACATAATAGAAGGAAAGGAATAACAGGAGTTGGAGTTTATTTCAAATCTTCCATTTTGTCATTTAGCATGTAAGAGATCTTAGGCAACTTAATCTCTGAGCCAGTTTCCTCAGCTGTCAGATGGGGATTGCCACTCCGACTTCACTGAGTTACTGTACAGATTAAGCCGCTGAACAGGTAAAAGCCTGGTGGAGTGGTGGCCAGCAAAGGTGTTTCACTTCTTTCCAGTGGGAAGATCATGAACCAAACACTATCTTTCCTACTTTTTAAAAACTCTTTTTAGTCTGAATTAATTTGAGGCTTACAGAAAAGTTACAAAAATAATGAGAGGAGTATCTGTATATATCTCACTAGGCTTTCCTTAATAGAAGCATTTTACATACCACAGAATAGTGATCAAATCCAGGAAACTATCATTGGCACAATATTATGAACTACATACAGACGTAATTTAAACCTTACCAATTTTCCTAGTAATGCTCTTTTTCTATTCCAGGATTCTATTCAGTATCCTATTTCCTGGCTATATGGAAAATATTTTCTTGATTTATACCACTTCTTATTACCCACTTTCAAGGGATATAATTTTAAAAGTATCTTCTGCTAAGTAATAATATGACTACGACACACAATATGCTTCATATGAACAGAATTATTTGATACTTCTTGATTTAAATATTCCTAGGAAGAATGTTAAAAATTCAGTAATTCCCAAGTAAAACAAGAAATGATTCATTCAATCTTTATAACACACAACATAGACGTTAAAATGATTTAATTATTTTAGGTGCCAAGTATTCAGGTTTAACTTGATTTTATTTGGTGTTAGCCTGACTTGACAGTAATGTCAAATGAAAAGAATCCCTATGTGGTTTGTAGATAATAAGAAGCCAATAATGAGTAGACTGAGAAGACTTTTTCCTGGCAATACTTCTTCAGGATCCAGTGATGGTCTTTGTCTTGGTTACTTTTCTCTTGTTGCTGAGATGAAATACCCAACACCCAAAATGAAGGAAGGAAAGGTTTATTTGGCTCACAGTTTGTGGAGGTTTCAGTCCATACTTGGCTGGCTCCGAGGCAGAAGGTAGCAAAGCAACAAGAGCAAAGAGGGGAATGGCAGCCGAACAGCAATGCAGCCAGAGCAAAAGGGAGGAATGGCGGCAAGCAGCCTCTTTCCCTGCTTTACACTGTAAACAGGCTACCCCCACCCAGAGGACGTGTAGCTCTCACATAATCTCCATGCCCTGGCTTCCACAGGCTCAGGCTGTATACAAAGTAAGCACCCTGGCTTCCTGCTGAGTCACTTAGCCCAACCTCTAGACTCCTCAAGTTGACACAATGTATCAACCATAACAGTCTTACAGAAATACTACCTCCTTCATAGAGCCTGGCTCATTTTATGACAATAGACATTTGAAAATATTTTCTATTGCTGACTGTCAATACAGAAGAGATTACTATACAGGTTCTATTCTTATCATTCCATCTTTTAAAATGCAGTTTAGGGAAGTCAATGCTAAGTGACAACATATAACCTGAAAGGAGAAAGGGAAGTACATGATCATATTAAAGAGATACCATGCCAGGCATGGTGAAACATGCCTGGAATCCCAGCACTGAGAAGGCTGAGGCAGGAGGATTAAACAAACAAACAAAAAAAGACACCAAAACTTAAAGCGTAGGGGAGTGGAGCTCTTTACCACGGTGGCAGTTCTTTACTTATATCCAGCCTTGCACCAAAAAACAGGAGTATGGCACAGCATTTAGCCTTTTCCCAGTGACTCACACGACTGTTACAAAGATCAGATAATGTGCTCTGACACTGACTCACTGACAGTTTATTACAACCCAGGTGCTCCACTTGGGAAAGAAGGAAGGAAGGACGGTATGCAACAAAAAATTTAATCAGAAATGGTTAAGATAAAGCAAGCTTCAGAATTACCAAAGAAGCTTCAACTGACCTGGAAAATTAATTTATGCAGGGAATATTTTCCCCAAAGAGGACAGAGACTCTGGGTATACTTCTAAAAGCAATTTGATCCATGACTTAAATCAGGTGGCAGCCTACCTCTGGTACCTTTACTTTTTTATCTATTCAAATTAATTATGTGTGAAGTGACAACTCCTCAAGGTCAACAACCACATCTGATATATCTTTGTATCTCTCCTCCTGATCATCCTTTGATCCTGGCACATGTGAGAGCTCCAGATGTATTTCTGAACAAATTGAAAAAAAGGGAAGGAGAACACTATTTTCTCAAGATACTGAGGCTTTAAAAAGGAGGAAAAAAATCATCTAAGAGCATGAAGTAAAAACAAGCCCATGATTCCTGTGATCCTTGGGGGTTAGACTAAGAACCATTGTTCCTTATGTTATGCTAGTTGCATTACCAGGTGGAAGCTATAACCAGTTTTGAACATGGTCACTGTGGCTGGGGTCAAGAAACCCAAGGCAGAGTAGTCCTCATTACTCTAATACTTGGTTTGGGCTCCAATTAACAAGTGGTGTATAGATGTTCTGTCTTCTGTCAGCACCAAGGGGCTTTCCCACTGAGGTATATGTCTCAGGGAATTAGAAGGCATCTTCCCTAAGAGGCTAAGCCACCTTTCTCCGGTACTCGGCCATTCATTCAGTGAATTGACAAACACAAAGATGCGAGACTTTAGTGAGAAGAACAGCAGAAAAGAATCTGGTTTTGGTCTTATGAGTTAGGACCTCCTAGAGAAGCACAAAGCAACTGTAAATTACCAAAACAATTACTGTTTATTTTTACTTAAATGGACTCTTCTCTTCTGCCATCCTCCCAATAGCCCTTGACTTGGTTTCTTGAAGTATCTCGCTCGAACCCCTATCCGTTTGAGTGGTACTGGATCACAACCTACCTGCAGTCTACAGCAATATTCTGCAGCAGGCAGCAGATCTCTCATCTCAAAGCAGGTGTCTGTCCCATGATAAATGAGTTCTAAGGATTCTTCATCTTCTCCCCACTCCAACCTGTACTCTGAGATGTCGACTCCCAAGCTTTCAGGACTCTGAAGAGCAGAAAGTCAGGTACTTAAGCACACCATTGACAAAACTACCATACCCATGTTCAACTACCTAAACTCAGGATGGAAGCAAAATGCTCTGGGACATTTCAAATACATATAAAACAAAGGCATGAAAGAGACACTTGATTTCCTCTTAATTCTGACCATTTCCCAACTCTGACTATAACCAATGTCAGCAGACATTACTACACACTGAGCAAAAGAATCACGTACACATATCCGTGGGTTTGCAGAATCCTCAGAATCTGCATGTGGGGTAAAGCAGAAGCAACAACAACTGATGCACCTAACTTACCTCCCAGCTCACTAGGACACATCCATCAGGTGTAAAAGAAACACTAGGCGCTTTGCACTGTCCAGGGGGCCCTGTGGCAGTGGTGATTTCAGATACATCAGAATAGGGACCATACTGAAAAAGAAGAACACATATGAGCATGTTCATTCATATATTTGCATATAAAAGCTGGTAACTAAATAAAGCTTAGGCTAATATCACCATGTATGTAAATGATTACAAAAATATTGCCTAATGGTTTTTACTTTCTGAGAAGTAAAAGTTGACTGCACTTGTCTATCTTTTTTAAATTCAAAAGGATCATAAAGATGGCTCTGTAAACATTTTCCTTTATTGTGACAACAGAAACAAAATTAGGCTGCTTCTTGACAAAACACAGAGTTTTGCTTTCACATTTCTCGGAGGATATCCAAGAAAAGTAAGTCAGATACATACTGCAGTTTAATTTTAAATGAATAAAAATAGACTTCAAATTGTTGGTTATCAAACTCTGGGTATTTCTTCTGGTTACTGGTATTTTCCATTATGAAAACTGATGTTCTCATAACATCTCTGCAGCACATTCCCAACATCCCAACTATTCTAGAGCAGACATGGAGTGTCTTTTTTTATGCTGCCATCAGTGACCACATTGCTCACAGCACAGCACTGCTAGGACTGAGCACAGTGTGACAGGGCCATAACCACCAGGACCACCCTTTCCAGTAGTGAAATATGTGGTAATTCAGAGCCAGTATAAGGACTGAAATAATTTCCAGGCTAATGATGTCTGAGACAATGCAAAAAACAAATCAAGCAACTCACACTTTCCAATATAATTTGCAACGGTACTACAGAGTGGAGAGAAACTCTGGAATGGACCCCAGGGGACTACAAAGATGTTTAACTTCCAACCCAACAGGAATAAAATCAAGTGGAAGGTAATTTCTTTATACAATGAATCAGTGAAAGGGAAAAGTAGGGTTCAGATCAGCCTGACTGCTGATCCAAAGACAAGAGCTCCATGAAGATATTTCATAAAGCCAATTCAGGGGCTACAGGACAGATGACATGGAGAGGGGTCCTTTCAAATACAAATAAATGTGGTTGTTTGGTAGTTTACCGTTTCTCTAGGAGCTCTAACAAGGAAAAGCAAAACCAGATTCTTCTCTGTTGTTCTCATCAGTAGCATTCACTCTCTGTTGTTATGGCAGAGACCCCCTGAAGGGTTGATAGGTAATGGCAAACAACAAAGAAACAGAATCTCTGCCGCATCTGTGATCATGACCACCCACTTTCTGTCTGCTTAAATAATTGTAAGCTTGAGTACACAGGCTTCTTCATCTTCTCACTAATACAGCTTTCATGTTTAGACTTTTCACTTAAATATCTGTGCTGTGTTGGAAATTCTCTTCTAATGGGAATTAAAAGAAATCCAGCTCCTATTCAAATGTGTGATCCTGTTTCAGAAGAAAGATTTTCATGGCCAGCTGTGGCTGATAGAGAACTGACTAAAACCAAACACATTTCACTCCTGAAAGGCTTGCATAGGACTACTAAAAACCAGACAAAAACCCTTTTGCTTGTTTTATCACTGTCAATTGGGCTTTATTATTTTTCATCAAGAATTATACCAGTTAAATCTATTTGCAAGGAGGTCATCAATACAAACCACTGGCACTTTGGGGGAGGGCTTTACCCACCACACTTTTCTGCCCATCTTTGACACAACCAAATCCCCTGCAAACTGTGAAGTATGTATGTGAAGTATGTATCACATACTTCTCCTTATGAATCTCTTTCAAAATTCACAGTGACTTCAAAGAAAAAAAGAACTACATCTTTGTGAGTAAGATACAGATATGCATATTCTCATCTGCTAACCCACTTTGAAAACTCCACACATGGAAGTAGAATGAAGGACCAGGGAGTTCTAGTTTTCACTCGAAATGAAATTTAAAACAAAGTAAGCTGGCCTTCCTAGGCTCTACCCTACTTGTTTTAAAAACTGACCTAAACACTGCTGGTTCACATAGATAATAAGGTATAGCACTTTTACTAGAATTATTATGCAGTTCTAATTTCTCACAACTGATAATGAGAGAATAAGAGACTCCTCTAAAGAGTATTAAAAGCACACACAAGGTGATATTCTGATTAACCTCAATATGAAGACAAGAGAAACAGAGTATTTCTAATGCTGGGTCTACATGAAATCACAAGAATATCAATTCAGAAATAAGATTTTATATACAGTTCTTTAACAGTTGTTCAGGCTGGGTAGACACTGCTAAGAAGTATGGGAAGGTAAAAACAGAGGAGCTAGAATTTTATACGCTGCTTCCAGTTTCAGTATGAAACCTTACACTCACCCCTCCATCGTTCAGAGCCCTCACTCTGAAGCGATACACAGTTCCAGGAAGCAGGCTGCCAACAGTGCACTCCAGCTCTGGCCCATGGTACACTTCTGAAGCTACGTCCTCGGGTTCAGTCATCTCCACACTGTACTCTGAGACCTCACAACCACTTTCTGATGCAGGAACATCTGGAGATGCAGAATATTCATCTTGAAACATTTTTGTGCTGCTTCTAGTTGACCAAATCACACCTAATTTTCACAAAATATCATGTAGGGGGCCTGTCCTCAAATTTCTCTTATAGAAGACACCCACCCCTCAATAAAATAAAAAATTTCCTTAATGATGTTCTACTCTCCAAAGCAAGTACATTTAAGTATATTTAATTATATTAATAAAGTAATTCCAATATGATAGTTACACTAGGCAAAATTCTCTACAATGTATGGCAGACAAAAGGAAGAATTAAAAGGAAGAAACGCTCTTTAACTTGACATTAAAAGTCATGGTAAATCCAGACACAGGACCCTAAACTGGTACAATATTTTATTACATTTTAGACATAAGTGGCAGGAAAAAATAGAGTTCTACACATTTACATTTGTAGTTTGTATGTTGTAAACTGCTGGTCCAACAGAAAATACAAATATGACTAAAGTAAATGCTATAAAAATACCAGGACCCACATGTGACAAATCAACACAGGTTATTGCACAAAAAAGGGGAAAACTTCAGTGTTAGCCACTGAACCATTTCTTGGTTTAATCTCTACAATGAGCACAGTTTTCTTTATAAATAAAGTTGAAACGTTCCTGAAACAGATGAGCTTTTCTGGAACACGCCCTAGAAAAGCAACTCAGCAGGGTACAGGACAGACAGTATGTGTGGCTCAGTCAGGAAAGGGAGCACTGATGCATGTCTGTAATCCCAGTACTCTGGAGGCTGAGGCAGGAGGATACCTGAGAATTCAAGGGCAGCCTGGGCCACAGTCTACATAGTGAAACCCTGTCTCAAAAAGACAAAAAAAGGCAGGGGGGCACGAGCAATAGCAAGGGCTGAGAGGGGATGACAGAAATCCAAGCCAATACACCATTTCAAAAGGAAGCCTTGAACTTAATTATGAAGTATTCAGTATTAATCTTCAATTGTCCAAACTGCTGATATCAGTGTGACGGCCTGTTTACTCACCCCACTCTAGGTGGACTTCTTTGTGCTTGGGTCTACCCAAAACCCTCGGTGGTCGACACTGACCTGGTGCGATGCTTAGTGTGCGAACAGGGAGACTTTCAGAACACTGCAGGATAAAGACCAGAGAGAAGCATTTCTTAGTTACTGTGAATTTACAGGTCTCCAATATACCAGGCCAATTCTACCCCACAACTACAAATGTGACCAAGAAGGAACTACATATTGATTGTGTACATACTACTGGAGGTTTTTTATGGAGTAAGACTTACATATGGGTGTCTGTGTTTTAAATAGGGACTTATGTTATACATGAAATGCTTAAAATATGAATGCGTCTTTCTGAAGCCAGGTTAGTGAGTATGCCTGTTGTATATCCTAAGCACACACTTACTTGCCTTCAAATCAAAACTAGAGATACCCCTTATAAGGACAACACAACACAAAGCAACAGCTGGATGAAATTTTAGACTGGTTCCATAAATAGCCAATCATTTAGACAGAGCAGAAAAGCAAAATAAAATCTGTACCAGTCAACTGAGTCTGACATTAACCAACAGGTTTTGGTAATGCTAACCTGAGTGGGCCTACTTTTTTGCAGGATCTGGCTCTCTAAGCCCGGTGGTATGAAAGCGGACCCTCTTATTGACACAGGAAACATGGTAAACTGAGCTACGCATCTCAACCAAATTGAATCTCTTCTTGAGAAGTGGTACAGAGGAAATGAACTCTATACATTCCAGCAGTACAGGCTCGGTGCCACCTCATGCAGCCAATTACATACAAGAGATAGTTGCTGATACTCTACAGCTTTGGCTTGGATATATTCCCTCCTGGGAGGCATGCCAGAGAGCTCTAGCACCACAAAACAATGTTCTAATAACTGGACCTTCTTCCACAGGACATCTCTCTATGTGGGCAATCTGGATGTCACAGTATTGCTCTCTTTGCAGTGAGTAGTGGAGGGGCAGTGGAGATAACTGCAAGAAACGATTAGAGGTAGCACGATGGGGGAAAAATTGGCTTTCAAGTGGTAGGCATTCTCTTGAATACTCAACCCAGCACATCCCTCCTCTCTGAAAATAGTAATGGTTTCAAATCATTGCATTAAATATCTACATTGGAAACATCTTTTTACCATCATGCCTCTCAACCACTCTTCCAAATATAAGATAAAGCTATTTAGATAACAATTATGTTATTTCTAGAGCAATTCATGTGCGTTTATTAGATTATCCTGAACTTACAAGAACAGTATGTGGTTGAAACTAAGAGTCCTGACATGTCACCTTGGCTGATCTAAGGTCATAAGGTCATAGGCAAGAGAATGGCTGCTGTCTACAGCTATGCACACTGCGTACTGCTCAGGGCAGGAGGGGCATCAGCTCAATCACCCCAGATTTCCATGGTTTTTCCAACAGTCTCCCAGCAGATGGCAGTACAGGACCTTGAGGAAAGTACATCTTAAATTCTCATAAATTAATAGATTTGCGCAGGTCTTATCTTGCTGACTCTGAATTCTATATTCTTTCATTGAGATAACTGAGAACTCCCTTATTTAGTTAATGTAAATTCCAGATAGTTTTTAACTGTCACATGTGATTATGCCAAAGTCTCCTGAGAAATAAAGTGATAAAAGTACCTAAAGGTATCACAGTTCAGCTGAGACTCATTTGGGCCTATATTTTCTGTCCTCAAAAGTATTACAGATAGATGAGTTAGGCAGAAATATTATAGGCAGTCAGATAGGGCTAGGCCCTCGAGAGAGTCAATACAAAAGATGAAAACACATTATAACTGTGATCAGAGGCACATCTGCTGGAGGCCAAGCTTCAAGATAAAGATGGAATGACCAGGCCTACATGCCACCCCAAGGCTTAAGTGGTAATACTTCGTCCAATAAAGTCTAGATAGACATCAGTCACCTTGGTGGATGACCAAAACCTTCAGACCATCTCTTCCTGAAAAGTTCTTTGTTCTTTCCATGTATACTTGCTAAGTGACCTGCTTCCCTGTGGGATCAACATTAGCTAAGCAGCTACACTTGTAACCTGGTCATAGTTTTGTCATTGGTCATAGTTTTGTCCCACATTGTACTTATCTCATAATTTTGTACCCACCTCGTGATTTTGCTCTAGAAAACTTCCTTTGAGAAGTAGGCTCATTGGCAACTACTTCAGTCCCCTCCTGTCCCTCTCAGGAGCTGTCTATCTCTCAAGAAATATTTCTTACTTTTAACCTCCATTGTTCCTTAGAATTTATTCTTTGATTTTGGGGAATATGAAAGCAGCATTACCAGACATTTAGCAAGTTGGGAGTTTTACTTCCACTATATCACTTGGGGGTCTTATATCAAAAACACAGTTCAAAAAGCTCCATTTCTATTTTCTGAAGTGACAGTATGGCAAGCTGTATCACCAAGATATATTTTTAAATTGCAACTTTAATCTGATGTTACTGACATAGTTGGCCCAAGTTTGATCAAAGATGTCTACTTTTAAAAAGGTAAAGATGAAGATGGAATGACCAGGCCTACATGCCACCCCAAGCCACTAACCTGACTGTGCCCACCAGTACTGATGCAGCACGCTCGGAGTTTGTACAAAGTGCCTGGTTTCAAGTGGGTGAATGTGTATTCTGTAGCCGATCCACTGTATGCCACTTCCCACTGATTGGCTGGAAGAACAAGACTCGTGTAAGTTTATGCTTTTTACAAAAATGTCATAGTATTAACCACTACTGACAGGAAAAAGCTGTAAGAAGTTTCCATGAGAATCTACATCAATTATTTTTTTTAATAGCACAGGGCTCTTTCCATTTCCTTACAACATTAAAACACTAAATCAACATGGAGGCATTCGTAATGTTTAGTGTTGTTGGCTGAACCTCTCAACATCACCCTTCCCTCGGCACAGGAGGAGGGGTTCAAGAAGACAAAGGGCGGTGCTGACTAAGCTATGAAATGTCTCTGTGCGAGTGAGGAGGCTATGGGGCCAGCTGGTATGTGATGTCTGCTCAGCCATGAGGGTCCTGGCAAGTATGAGGACTGCTGAAAGGTTGCTCCCCACTCTTGTCTGACTAGAGGTCACAATGAGTGAACTGCTCCCATGACAAGCTGAGTCCTTTAGGTCAAGACCTGCTGTTTTTATGGAGTCCACTTAAAAGACAAAAATGACTGAGAGGGTGACTGAATCAAAGATAGGACACTTGATGTGACGCAGGTTAGCCAATCACTTTTGAGGAGTGAGGAAAGAAAGCAGGGTTGCTGGAGGTCAGGCAGCCCAAGAGGCTGATGTTATCTGGGGACAAGCACAAAGTACAGAAGCCACCTGGACTGAATGCCAGTCTCTACAGCCTGGGCTGGGACACGTTCCTCCTGTGTGTGGCTCCCACTCATGCTGTTTCCAGTTGACTAAGAACTCTTTACTCCACAAAGTTGTTTTAGGGAAAACATGTTTATTTTATGACATTTTACTAGAGTAACTTCTACAAATGCTTTCAGATCCTTATTGGATTTACAATAAACTTCCTTGTATGTACTACGGCCATCTGAAAAATGGGATATTAAGGACAAGCATACTGTCGGTACAGGTCAGATACCTGTACTGAGAAGGTGACCGGGAACCAACAAAGTAAAGATTCAATTAATGACACACCTAGAGTTGTTAACGTAAAGACAGAAGGGCATCTGGTGTTGATTTGTCTTTAGTAGTTACAAAAGCCAGGAAAGGCAAAAACTTAAGTTTTCCTAATGAGCCACTGACGTATACATAACTTCTCTTCTTGGTAGGTTTGTAACACAAAATACTAAATAAGACTTATAGAGAGAATACGATTTTATGTTAAGAACAGCTGGGCCCATCCAAAAAAAACTATCATATTTTCAGCTTAAAGTAAGACCTAGTAGACTTAAAAACCAAAAAACTCCACCTGGTTCTCATGGTACAAAGTAAAAGGCAAGCCACATATAATCTTTATATTATAAAAGTTACTAGGTCAAATGTCTTCTTTTGTCATATGCATGCATCTAAAAAATGATTATACAGTTATATTACACTGGTGAAATTATGTGCCATATTTAAAGTGCTAACAACTATACCTTTATTAAAGGCTAATGAATTTTCTTACAAAGAAAATCTAGGATTATTTAAAAAGAAATTTAATTTCTAAGATGGTCCCATTTTAATCCACATAGCAAATAATAGTGAATAAATAATGTAACTCAAAAATCACAATGAAGACTGAAAGTTATGGTCTAAACTTGTTACAAAAGTATGAAGCTTGCATTGGTGGGTAACACCACATGTTGCTTGTCACTCTACATGGTAATTTACAGATTACTGAACTCTTCTGTTCTAATTTATCCTTGATGACTGCTTCTGTTTGTGAGAATTCTCAGAAAAAGTATGGCTAAGTTAAAAGATGAAAACCTTAAGTTTATTTATTTTAGGATCTCTGTTTTTAAAAACAAAAAAAACAAAAAAAAAAAACGACATAAAAAAATAGAAACAACATGACAAAAATAACCTTACAAGTAAACTCTGATCTCTGGTGCCATATATGAAAGAGAAAACTGCAAATATGTGATTACAGTTTTATTATGATAGCTGTAATATTAAAATTAATGATTGCCCACTATTACTATAAAGATATTTATTACATTAAAAATAAGGCTTATTACTGCATTTGTATAAAATAATTTCCAAAAACCTCACCTTCAGAATTTCCATCAGTAATCTCCAGCAAGTACTTGAGAATTTCTGCACCACCATTGTCCTTTGGAGGGTCTGGGAAGTAAACAGATACTTCTTAGTAATTGTAGGGTACTAGATTTTATTGGAAAATATCATTAGAACACACAAGATCATATCACATTATACTACCTTAAATCCAGATTGGATAAAAAGATACAATAATTAAGTTTACTTACCTGCTTCCATGAAAAATAAAACAAACCAAGAGATTGAATATTATCAGATTATTCAAAGTTCTTCAAGCTAGATATGTCATAGAGTTAGCATTTATTTAATGAAGCATGAACAAAACTCAAACTATGAACTGATTCTTCTAAGACTTATGTTAACAAATTTACAGTGGGAATCCCAAAGGCAGCTCTTTAAATAGGCCTCAAAAGGAAATGAATGTGTTCACAACTAAATGAATGTTGTATCTCTGGTGAACCTGATGTGAAACCAGAGCTGTGGGTCAACAAGAACCTATGCACCAGGCAGACAGTCTGAGGAAGACTGCTGCAGCTTCTTATTAGAGCCACGTGGCACCTTGGGTACACGGCCTTCTGGTAACTGTGCGGAAAGATACCTTGTAATATTACTTTGAAAATTACAAAGAAATTCCCCCTAACATCAGTCTGCCCCCTCTGTATTCCTTGAAAGACATTTTTCAAAGAGACTTAAGTTTGCACACATACATTTAGCAAATTTATGTCCTTCCTCCTTTCACGTGGTATTTCCATTAATGTATATATACTGCAGCAATAGAGATTCACAGCAATAATCATAAAGTCAAATATTACAGCATAGAGCTAATAAAAGTAAACAAAAGCTCTATGGTCTGCCAAAATAGCACACCAATATTTTTACAATTTCTCTTAACTGTACTTGTGTGCCAGGGAAATAAAGATACTAATAATTCTATCTGAAAATTATTAGATAATTTAAAATAAGATGTTTCAGTGGCTGGTTACAATAATAGTCTATGTTTTAAATTTCCCTTCCATTAATTGGCTACCAGTAAAATGTTTTAATTTCTTTTTTTGTTTCTGCCTTTTTATTAATATTGTTACAAAATATTAGGGAAAATTACACACATCATAAAAAATTACAACTGTTTACCAACTTTCCAGTTATAGATGTTTCATTGGAATAATCTGTGCTAACATAATCTCTTTCTGTCAGATGACCACAAACCCCATAGAAGCCTCAGTATGAAAACCTCCTGAAGTTCAAGATGGTGGCTATATATAATGTGTAAACAAAAATTTATCCATATTTATTAAGCTATAACTGAATTTTTAAATTCACTTTCAACATTAATTTTATAAATAAAATGTTTCTATTTAATTTTGCTACATTTTTTGAGAAGGCTATTGAAGAATGAATCAGAAATGACTACCCTCAAATCAGTAATACATTTTTAAAAAGGAAACTATGTAATACAGGGAAATCATTGAGTAAGTAATATACTACTACTGCCCATCTAAATTTCCATTAAAATTTAATTGTGCATTAAAATTCCATTTTCATGGAATTGCTTCTTTTAATTTGTGGAATTCTCCACATGTTTCTCACATGTATATTTCAAATGTATGAAATTCCCCACAAATAATGCTTTTTTTTGGCTTGTCATTGAAAATAATCAATTTTGAAAAATCTACCATAAAAAGAAATAGCAGCAGCAAACATACCCCATTTGACACTGAAGCCATGAGATGTGACTGGTCCTTTAACGAGGGGTCTTGTAGGAGGTCCAGGCCTGTCCGGACTTGTTGTACAAACCAAAACTTCACTCGGACAGCTTTTCCCTTCCATATTAGAAGCAGTCAGCTATAGCATAACCAAGAAGCCATGAACATGCTTTCATTATCAGGTATTTTTAAATCAACAGGTACTTTTTCAAGATCAGACAGACAGACAAACACCTTTTAAACTTATGCACTGATTTAATAGTGTTTTTCTTACAATTACTCATTGTCTGTATATTTGAATATTAACAAAACCACAGGGTGGCTTTCAGGTAACAACATTTTCAACCTTTAAGGAAGACATATATAAGATCAGCAAGTCACTACCTACTTTGTAGTGTTTTGTGGAAGGAAATAAAGGTTGGGAAATGCTGATAAAATGCACTTCACTTATTGCGGAGTAAGGCAATGCCACCTTGTGGAGAAATGCTAGCAGTACAGCTGTGTTCCTGGAACCAGCACCAATAACAAGGTTGTTTTAAAAAAACTATTAATTTCCCCAAAAAGTTACACATTCCACCTGATAATTTGAAAAATATTTACTGTGTGACTACCATGTGCCAAATTACCCAACCCAACCCTAAAACTAGAGCAGGAAAGACGGAATCAGAAAACAACCGTACGTCTCTCAAGTGCACGCCTGTCCTACTGGGACATGTGGGTGGTGCCTTACGTAGGATCGATAAATAGCACTGTGGCACAGAATGCAGCAGGCTCCTTTTTCTCTTAGTGATCTCAAAGTTGTATTCACTTTTTTGGCTATGATACAAAGCTCTACAGTAACACTTATGGTGATTGTTAATGACCAAAGTGGAGACTGGGTGGGTAATAAAGAACAATGAAAACAGCTGAGGAAAAAGAAATGGGCAAAAGAGAAAATACAGAGCAAAAGAGAAGTCAGATTGAAAGAAGAAATACAAAAGAGAAAGGAGCAACATGCAGGTGAGTGACCAACGCTTGGTTGGGGTGTCTCCCTAGCCTAGGTCACTGGCCACGCTGAACAGCAATTTATTACAGCATATTTTTCTGTCTCAAAAGTGATCTTTAACATTAGAGGATGGCATGCATTTTGAAGTATAAATGTCATTTTAAAAAGGTAAAGCACTTTCACACTTTTAACCTGCAGAGTCAATTTAAAATGATAAATGATGACACATCAGAGCTTCATTTTTAAATACTTCAGGGACCAAAATGATCGACTCACCCTGAATTTATACTGTGTGCTTCTTTTGAGATTTTTCACAGTACAAGTTAAATCCTCTCCAGTGTATTTTGGGTGGAAAAGGTTATCCTGAAAAACCAAAGCCAGAAACAAAAATCAGTATAGTAACACCTAGGCATGGCATCCTTGCACTACCTCTTCCCACTGTCACAAGGGAGACAGAGGTCGGCAGCTACTGAGAACAAAGCATTGTGTTCAGAGGCCCACGGTGCTGGAAACAGCATTCAAGACTTAAAAGAATATTTCACCATATCACATTGTAACTTTTCCTGGGTCTGGTCAATTTTATTGTTACAAAGTAATAAGTATTTTTAAAAAATTTAATTAACAATAAATCTATCGGGGCTGGGGATTTAGCTCAGTGGCACAGCGCCTGCCTGGCAGCACGAGGTCATGAGTTCGATTCCCGGTACCAGAAAAAAACAAACAAACAAACAATAAATCTGTCATGAAAGAAGGTATTGACATAATGGCTGTCATGCTGTACTGTGCTGTGCAACAAGCTGTGGCTGAGGTTTTCTGGGCATCCAGTGTCCTCTTCTGGCCAAAAGCGAAAGGACAGCTTAGACGGGGAAGGGCAGAATCCTTCATTAGAGTGAGCCTTTCCGCTAAAAAATGAATCCACAGAGTTCATTCAGTAATGTTCTCTACTGTTCATTTATTCATTCATCTGTCAAATACCAGTGAGCTTCTTTTATGCATCAGGTGCCCTCCAGGTTCTAGGGATTCAGCCCAAGAACACACAAACTGCTGCCCACAAGAAGCCAACACCTGGTCAGAGGGTAGGGCAGTTGGTATAAAGTGCTATGACAGGAATAAACCTGGCTCACAGGGTGGTGGAGCTAGTGAGGTGCTGCTCTCTACAGCTTCATGTGTAAAGACAGTAGCCACAGCTACCTCTTTAAATTCAAATTTAATATAATAAAATACCAGCCCCTATACCCATAAGCATGTTTCAAGTGCCTTTAGCCACATGTATCTAGGTGGGACCTCATTGGACAGCACGAACTATAGAATATTTCTATCATCATGGCAATGATGCTGTTCTACAGGGTGGCCAGGCAAGGGCAGTCCTAATAATTGGTCCCATCTGAGAAGAGACCTGAAAGAAATGAGGGAAGTGAGTCAGAGGTATCTGGAGGGATATTTTAGCCAAGGGGCACAGGAACTGCAGAGGCCACAAGGCCAGGGCACATATGGTAGGTCCAAACGACACACATGGGGCTAGGAGACAGCCATGGAAGGAACAAGGGCAGTGACGGAGAACCCAACCACACGGGACCATGTAGGCAGGGAAGAGCTCTGGCTTCGCTCTGGAAGAGAGAGGGAAGGTACCAAGATGGGAAGTGTTCTGAGCAGAGCATGGACACAATTTGTCTTTCAAAGGATCACTCAGATGAAATGTGCAGGACAGACTATAATCAGGGTGATGTTACAGGGAGTATGAAGGTGCCATTGCACTAATCCAGGGGTGACATGAAGATGACTTGTAAAAGGACATTTGAGCAGTGGAAATGGTGAAAAATTATTAAATTTCTGGATAACTTCTGAAGGAACATTTAAGAGGATCTGCTAACTGATAATATATGGGGCAAGGATTACCCAAAAGAGTTTTTGCTTATCCTACTGAAAGGACGGAATGCCAGTTACTGAGATGGGGAAGAGCAGGTTGCTGTTAGCAGTGGTGGTAGAAATTAAAGACTTTGGTTCTGAGCTTAGGTAGCTAATCTAATTTCTTGGTGGTCCAATGCTATGATAATGCTGATTTATACAGAACACATGCAGGGGGAAGAAAATATGCAAAACTTACATTTTCATCCTCCTGAATTTCCAAGGTATAGGTGATTGCTTCCTCGGGTGAACAGCCTTCTGGCTTATTCCACTGCAGTGTGATCCATGTGACACCAGCTCGAACGAGTCTTGGTGCAGACGGCATCTGAGGGATGTTTCCTAATGTGTAGCAAACCACCTCTTGGCTATAACCACTGCAGAGAAATGAAAACCATGAGACATATGTTTAGATGTATATGAAGGGTCCTGGTGTTTAAAAAGAGGAACAGAAGCTAAGCACAACCCCATTTAGCTGGGGTGAAAAGCTGGGGGTCTGGCGGACTCAGCAAACACAGGCAGGCCAGCATTCTTTAATGACATTCCCTATAACTTTAGATTTGCTCTATCTTCTTCTGTAGTCTACTTTTAGGAAAGCATACCAACTTATAGGACAGTGTACTTAAGAATTTATTTTCCCTCCAGCAGCACTGAGTAGAAAATGCAGCACAGTACCATGTTTATTCCAGCTGAATCTCAGCTACTAAGGGGTCTTCAAGTCAATGTGTTTTATCAACTACTTGTTGATGAAAAAATGATTTACAAATAGATATAGTCCTGCTTTTCGAAAGTCTGAGGGTACTTCTGACTCACTGAAAGGTTCCTGAACCACAGAAGCCTCTGTATTTGTGAATTTTTCAACCAGGGAACTCTTAAAATTACAATGGCTGCCCTGCCAGTTCTGCAAAACTCTGTGATGTTAGGAAGGGGTTCTTTGGGCTGGAAAGAAGGCTAGGAACCACTGAAATTCTGAATCTTTAAGATTTTCAACATGAAGTAATGAAAGAACGATTTTTCCACTACTCCAATGTGGCCTTTGTAAAGCCTCTCTAATCAAGGGGTGCCTGGCTACACACCTGTTCTTGCCTTTCTCCTGCAGCTCTGAGCAAGCTGTGGTACCCAAACCAGCCTCACTTTCTCTCGTCTTGGGAGTATCTACCCTGCGTTTGACAACAATGGCTTGTGCAGCACCCCTTTCTCTGTATCATGAATCACTCATAGCACTGAAAAGCCAAATGAAAGATAAGCTTGCTAAAGTGATAAAAGAAAAAGGCACATGATCCAAGAAAATAAAGCTCCAACACGAATTCCTTTCAAAGTCTGTATTACCACTTTGTTCTGGTTCTGAGATACATAGTAGGTGGGGTCAGGTAACAGAGCTTGCAAGATTACAGAGGCTACAGTGCATTATCACCCCAGAACAGGCTTTCTCCCCTCTGAGTTGGATTTCCCTCTCAGAAAAGGTGCAGTTGCCTCAATGCAGAGGCAGCGGGATTGTTCACACCTTCAAGCAACTGAGAGAAGGCCCAGATTCCCCACCTAAAAGATGAAGGGCAAGAGGGTAGGAAGTGTCATACCTGGTACCAATGTCATTCCGAGCGGCCAGCCTGAATGTGTACCCCATGGCTGGACAAAGCTTTGTCAACTTGCAGTGTTTCTGGCTCCCAAAGAAGCATTGTCTGAAACCACTGTTTCTTTTTCCCTAGAAGAAAACAAGATAAAATATGCAATTTGCTTCAAACAAATACCCATAAGAAAACAAAGGAGGGGCTGGGGATTTAGCTCAGCGGCAAAAGCGCCTGCCTGGCAAGCGCAAGGTCGTGAGTTCGGTTCCCGGTACCGGAGAAAAACCAAAGCGGGCAAAGGAGGGTAGAGAGATGGGATTTGGGCCTCTGGCT